TTTTAGTGATCTAATATAGAAGCACATTCACTGGAACTTGTTTAACTCTGAAGTGTTCATGTTTGGTGTGCTACACAAAAAAGCATTTCTTAATACAAAATAGTTTATTCAGATACTGATGACAGTGATTGAATATATGTGTGAACCTTTTACCATTTTAATATAAAGTGAGCCAAGCTATAGGATTGTAGGAATCTAACATCTTTCTATTTTCTCAGCTTATAAGAAGAAACTATGAGTATTATGGTAACACAGTTCTTATGTTTTGAAAATAAAATATCCTTTATTGAGTCCAACAAGTAAACACAGTAGCCATTTTTAGAAAAGGGATAAAAAAAAAAAACCCTCAAAGTAAAACATCCCCAACCAACTCTAAGAAAAACATTGCATATCACATTTATCACAAGATATTTGTTTAAACAATTTCATTTTCTACAAATTACTACCAACTTTTTCTAATTTTGTCATTTCAGTTTTATCATCCTTAATAAAAATGAAAGGTTTATCCAAATAGAAACAAACTTTTCTACACTTTCGAATGTTGTTTTTGATGTTGAATTTATAAAAGCATTTAACAATTTTCAAGCACACACCACCTTGCTACAACAGGTAAATGATGCCTAAGCAACAAGAAGAGTTCTCCTACAATGGAATGTTGCTCAGTCTTGACATGGGCTACAGCATGGATGAATCCTGAAGACATTAAGCTAAATGAAACGAGCCAGACACAGAAGGACAAATACTGTGAGTTCACTTACATGATATGCTTAGACTAGGTAAATTTAAAGAGACACAAAGTATAATAGGGTTTACCAGGGACTGGACAGAGGAGGGATAGGGTACATTTTTTTGTTGGGGATGATGATGATACGAAAGTTTTAGATATAGAGGTGATTGGTTACATAACATAAAAGCAGTTGATATCACTGAATGGCACAATTGTGAATGGTTAAAATGAAAAATATTATGTACATTTTACTACAATCAAATAGATAAGAATTCTGCTGAGATTTTACAACTGGGGGTAGGTGGTAGGGCAGAAAACTTTAGCCTCTATTACTGGACCTAATACCTGAATATGTTCCATTTCAACAAGTTCAGAAGGTTCGTGTGTGGGCTTTTCTTTCATTCATTTGGTTGATTCAGTCAATAAATATTTACTTAAAAGTCATGGTATATCATGTCAGACTCAGAAGGAGTAGATGGATGGGTAAGGGGGAGTGTTCAGCCTTCAGACTAGGAGAGAACAACATTCACACATGATTAAAATACAGTATAAGGGCTGCAGTAGAAATGTCATTGATAATAGTGGACACACAATGGGGAGGAGGTTCCTGAGGGGATCAGGGCTCATAGAAGAGTCGATAATCAATCTGGGTTTGAAGTTTGAGAAAGAATTGGATTACTCATTGTATTTCAATGATATGCAGAACAGTATCACATTTCTACTATGGAATCTTAGATGTAAAATATTTATGACCTTTTCAAATATTTTTATTTTTTTCCCCCCTTATGTATAAGCAAACTCATCCCTTGAGTCAGAAAAACATCTTGGTTAATTCTCTGTCCTACTTTTTAAAATATTTATAAGCAAAACCACTTTCAGAAATAATTCAGTTAGTGAAACATGCTCAGATCCCTTAGAGTATGTAATTTAATAGGGAGATGAGGCAGGACAGCTGGCCAGCATGCCCTGCAGAAACAGCGTGGGATGGCTGTGCACAGGCAGAAAGACTTCTGGGAGGTGGAGGAAACTTCATGGGTGGGGCTGGTCGGGAGTGCTCTTTGCATTTCCCTCTTCGGGCTGTGTAGAACTGTGCTAACTAGACGTAAGTTCGTTTCATCTGGATAGAGATATATGCGCAAAAGCAGAAAGGCAGAGAGTATCAGTCCTTCTCAGGCAAGCAGTGAAAAGGCCCGCTGGGGCCAGACCACAAGGGCCTCCAAGCCTTTCACGTTCTGCCTATGCCCGGAATCCGAGAACGATGATCTGTGACTGTGTAGACTAGGAGAGAAAGACGGAGCGTCTCCACATCTCTGCCCACTTACAAGGGATGGTGGAGAAGAGAGGAGAATAGAAGCGGCGATCCAAAGGCACCAGTGGGCATTGGGCTCATGGAGGGGTGGGCATACACTGAACCAGAAGCATGACATAGTGAACAAGAGCACATATTGTGGAGTCAGTCAACCCTGGGTTCAAATTCTGCATTCAAAACTAACTATGCAGACTTGGCCAACTTACTTAGAGCTTCTGAGCTTCCTTTCCCTTGTGTGACAAATGAGGACAGTAGTAGTATCTTTATATAGGGTTATTCTGAGGACTGGAGAGGACGGGGTGACAGACTTATGTAGATTCCAGATGGCCCTCTGAGATACTGTTAGCTCCTCCCCCAGGTGTTTCCAATGTCCCAGCTGAACCCAAAGGTTGGTGGAAGAATTTAGAAGGTTTTTTTTTTTTTTTTTTTTTTGCAAAAATAAGTCATTTACATACTTGAAGTTAAAATATTTAATTATTTCTAGATAATTAATATAATTAGTTTCAAGTATAAATAAAAATAAAAATATCATAGCCGAAACAGTTTTCTACTGCAGACACCTACCTCTGGGAATTCCTCAAACATTTTGAAAGCTGTGTTAACCATTTCATCCCTCTTAGTTGCCATGCAGGGCTGTGTAGACACATATTTAGAAAATAGTGTCTTGTCAGATCTAATATAAGGTCCCTCCAATTCCTTCTCCTAATCAGAGCTCTGAGTTAGGGTTTTACCCTGTGCAGTCAATCCTTCTGCTAAAGGGACCACCAGCCGTACTTGAAAGTATGGAATGCGAATTTGAAAACATCTCTCATGCTTTGATTAGAAATAGTGTAGAGCAGCGGTTCTCAATCTTTGGGGGTTTCACAGGGGTTGCCTAAGACATTAACAGTAGCAAAATTACAGTTAAAGTAGCAACAAAAATAATGTTATGGCTGGAGGTCACCACAACATGAGGAACTGTATTAAAGGGTCGCGGCATTAGGAAGGTTGAGAACCACTAGTCTAGATGGTGGTACCTTGTGGTCCTACTAGACTTGAAGTCTTTGTAACTAGCCTTTTCTTCTAATTACATTTCAGGGGACCCTCTTAGGTTTTCTACTTTGTAATAATATCTGTATAGGAGGTCATCTCCTTTCTGACTATTGTATCCTTAATTTGTGTCTCCTGATGTAGAGCAGAATGTGTTAGCGTGATGGTGGTAGTGGGCATCGGCAGATCGTGATCAAAAGGCCTCTGGTGTTTCAACATTTGACAGGATATTGTCACTTAGTTTGAATCTGATAGCACCCTTATCACATCGTTCCGGTCACCTGGCTCACATCACATAGGAGCTTTGAGGAAAATGTCTTTTTCTCATTGAGTTCTAGCTCATTAAGGAGAGCGTCTTTCCTTATTCACCTCCATATACACAGCATTAGCACTGACCCTGAACATAACTATGCGCAGGTATTTATGGGGGGTACCAATAAGTACCTTAATTTGTCAGGGCTCAATAAAAAGATCCTGGGGACAATAATGTCCAATAGGAAATTATAAATATCTTTTTACAATTTCAGAGATCCTGTTCAGCTATCTTCCTAAAAAATGTTTTATTTAAAATTAATATCTTGAATACTTGTCTTTTTGGTGATTTTTATGTAAGAAAACATGAAGGAGATACAATTTAAAGCTCTATTTACTTGTAATTACAAGAAAGACGGGAAGACCAAATTCTGTTTATATTTTTGATCCAAGTATGAATGCTTTAATTCCTTTTCTTATTTGTATGTTTTCCAGCAAACATCAAATAAATCAATCCAGGAATTAATACAATTAACTAATTGATTAGTACCTGCCCATAATATACCAAACAAAGGTAAATTTTATGTTGACTGTATATGGGTGTTATTTCTTGGTATTTTCAAACAATATCTACTCTAATGTATGATTTCCTTTTTTTAGTACTTCCTACTTCACAATTTTTATATATTCCAGTTTTAAATACTGTTTTGTCTCTTAATGTCACTCATGCATTAAATCCTTTTAAATGATAGGATATGAAGTGGGACTGAATACTGTGAACATTTCTCACAGAAGAATTAAAATGTAACAAAGAATAACTTTCAAAACCAATATGGTGGAAGTCATATTTATTGAAAAAAATTAATATCTTTGCTATAAAATTTGTAACAGGAATATTTACTGAATGTTTATTTTGATGCATAAACCTGAATATTACATACCAAGTACAAGACAGTAGCACTAGTTGTTTCGTTACTTACATTTTATGAAAATTGTTATGCAGTCCATGTTAAAAGAACGTATAATGGAGAATTGTTACATTAGAAAAATAATATTCTTGATAAAGCATTCCCAAGGAGTCCAATCACATTTTCTGCCTCTGCAATAAGGCAAAAGTCCCTGGAATAGCATATAACTTAATTTACAAAATACAATAACTGTTCAGACACATTTTCAAGTTTTCTTTTGGTATGATTTTTCCTCACTGTAAGTTACCTTTCCTCTCTCTCTCTTTCTTTCTTTCTTTCTTTCTTTCTTTCTTTCTTTCTTTCTTTCTTTCTTTCTTTTCTTTTCTTTTCTTTTCTTTTCTTTCTTTCTTCTCTCTCTTTTTTTGCTAAAACAGACTTTTAGGAGAATTTCAGCTATATATTACATATACAACTCTGTAGCCTAGCAACAACCATCGCTACACCATCATTAACTTTAAATATTTTGCTGGGTGAGCTATTCTCAATCATGGCAGGTTTGAAGAGGTCGCCATCATCATGACCGTGGAGTGAGGGTGTGGTTTTCGGAGGACACGATCTGGCACAGCGTGAAGCTCGTTCGCGTAGGGAACACACAACCACATGGCCACTCACAGGAGACGCCACGAGGCCACAGGTCAGGCCCGTGTCGCCAGGCCGCTCGACACCCCACCCCTCTGCTCTCGCTCCAGGGTTCGGGCAGTCTCACGTCCAGAGAGCCTTGTGTTTCACAGTTAGGTAGTTTTAATCCCTTCAAAGGCACACAACTTCCACCTTTTCTCCAGCGTCGCCCCCACGCCCGTGAACTCCTGCTTGAACATGCGAGGCAGCCTCATCAGGAGCATCTCGATCTCGCTGGCAGATATCTGTCGGGAAGGAGGAAAGGCAGCGTTAGGAGAGGGCCGTGTGCAGGTGGCCAGGGCCAGGCCGGCCTTCTGGGGACGAGCAGCAGGGGTCTCTGTGCGGTGGGCAGGTGCCGTCCGGGGAGGGAGCTCCAGGAAAGCGCCCGCCCGCCTAGGTTCTGCCTGGATCGCAGGCGGCTGCTGGCGTGGGCACGGGCCGCGGGGCAGAGTTCCAGGCTGCCGCCTGCGATGGCTACCCTGCGCCAGGCCCGCACAGCCCCCCTCCATGTGAAAGGGACGGGATGGGGTGCAGAGAGCTCAGGGAGCAGCACCAACCCCCCGCAGAGCGACTGGTGCCCTCAGCCCGCCCCCCACAGGGCAGCGCCCCTGACCTCAGCGAGGGCCACTCTGACCTGTTTCTCAGCCTTGCTCGGTCACCGGCACCAGAAGACAACCAAGGGTTAGAAATAGAACTGTAACCCCAAACCTACGGTGATAAAAGTTGTGTATCTACTCATAAAATCCAGGTAGGTTTTTTTCAATTCAATTTTTTTCTTCTCCCAATTTTTTTTTTTTTTTTTTTTTTTTACAGATTGAGTGGGAGGGAGAGAGAGGAAGGGAGAGAGAGAGAGAAACATCGACGTGAAGGGACACATCGAGTGGCTGCCACCCGCACGACCAACCAGGGCCGGGGACAAACTGCAACCGAAGTACGTGCCCTTAGTGGGAACCGAACCCGGGTCTCTCCGGACCGCAGGCCGACGCTCTAACCGCTGAGCCAAACTGGCCAGGGCTCTTCTCCCAATTTTTTAAATTTCATAATTTTGATACCAGTAATTCATCTTGTCTTAAATGGAGAGCACGTGAACCCCAATCCTGCTGTAACACAGCTGTTGGCTCCTGTTTTCCTGTGTCCCTTCCTGCTTCGGGCATGTGCATGGGGATCTCACCTGGCAAGGCCAGCCCCTGGGGTCGGGGTGTGATATTTCTGTGTGAATCTGTATCTGCTATGGCTCGGAACTAAGTGGCCCCTACCAAGACATTCAGTCCTTCTAGGCCTCAGCAAGTGGGAGTCACAACATTTCGGAAGGATGTGCAATGACCACTGGTTTAGCACAGATTGGGGCACACAGACATGTTCAGTGAATCAGCCCTATTATTATCTGCTATGGTAGAATTACCATACAGCTGCCATTTTAGAGTCTACACTTTCCATTTAACAATATTAAGACTAATTTTAAAGGGAGACCAAATGGACCAGGAAGTCAAATCAACCGCTCACGTAATATTCCCATGAAAAAGATTTCACGTAATGTATTCAATGTTCCTGGGCCTATAATATAAACCTTGAAGTACAGGCAGTCTGGAAAGTTGAAACCAATTGTATTCTAAAATTTTTGTGTGCGTTATTTTGAATTCTGAATGCATTTTCCCATAACATCATGTTAAATGGATTATTAGATTCTCAGATCGGCCCACAAAAGGCTACTAAGCTGATGATTAAAAGGCTTGCGGGGGATTTGAAAGCCTAACTCAATGACACTATGCAAAGCGCCCTCACCAGTGTCCTTCATTCCCACAGTCCTCCTGCGAGACCAGTCTCCATCCTGCAGCTGGGACATGGGAGTCAACCGTGGGCCTGTTTTATGACGGACAGACTTGGGGACTCACCTACTGTGTGTAGGTTGGGACCAGAGCACTGGTGTACTTTAAGTCTCTGCAGGATTGTCACAGCTGCAGGTGAAGAATCGGGGGTGTAGCTGTTCTTTAAAACATTGAGCACCTGGGGTAATTGTTAAAAAAACAAGTTCTCCGGCCCCTTCTCTGGAGATTCTGATTTAGCTGATCTTGGAGAGTAGCCCAGATAATCTATTTTTAACAATCACCCCAGGTCATGCTTATGTTCAGGCATGTTTGGGGTAAGAATGGGGACTTAAATCAGACAGGCCTCGATTTTAGTCTGGGCTAATCCTCAAGCAAACAGTGGCTCTGGGCCCGTCATTGAATATCAGTAATTTTCGGTTTCTTCATGTGCATAACAGAAATAACAGTATCGCTCCCAGTGTTATTGAGAGAATTATATGTAAAAGGTAGCACAGGGCCTAGCACAAGTACAAATATCTCTGTATACCATATAGATATCAATGCTGATAGATGTAACACTCTTGTATCAGACCTTCTGTGGCAGGTGGGTCAAGGACTGTGCCCACAGGCCAAAGGAAGGACGTCCGTGTCGTCAGACCCATGCTCAGTGGGTCCAGAAGGCAGCTTTCCTTCAGCTCTACGAGGCCCAGTTGTCCTCCAAACAAGCTCCCTTCCTTCTGTAGGAGGGCAGCCCCGGACTGGCAGTCCCTCCTCAGACCAGGCAGACACTCTCGGGCCATCATGAGCTTGCTACCGGCATCACTATCACTCCCTTAGAAAAGCTGGAAAGAAGCCTGTGCTGCTCATTAGGAAGGAAGAAAAAGCTGATCTTGAGGATAAAGTGACGATCCGATCCGAAGATGACATCCACGTGGGAGGCCAGCTGGGCTCGCGGGTCAGGCAGCGCGGCCCTGCAGCTGGTGTAGAAGTGTCAGCGCTGTCACCCAGGACCCTTCCCTTGCCAGACTCTTCTGATGATACTTTCTTTAATCTTACCACACTCTCGCAAGAGAGGGAATCATTTGCAAAGTAGGAAACTGAGATCCAGAGATTAGGTACCGAGTACAGGGTAACTCAGTACGTGTGGACTGGGGCGCAGATCTAGATGCCCTGGCCTGGTTCTTATCCGCTGATGCCAGTCATCACAGGGAGTGGGGGCTTGGAGGGAGAACCAGAAGTAATCCTCGTGGTCACTGCCTCTCTGCTCCTGGATATGGACCACTGGGGAAGGGTCCGTGTGCGGGAAGACAGGATCTCCGTGATGAATGCTTCAGAGTGATTTCAACATCAACAGCAAGAAATGGAAAATGCCCAACTCAACCAGCTTGTACAAATTCATATGCTAGTAAACCCCACAGGAATCACCAAAACAGCAAGCAGATCATGGGACATCTTGTTTTCCATGGTTTCGTGACCTGAGCCTAACTAACTTCAACCTCAAGGGCAGCAGAAGAGAGGTAGCTGCCACCCCCCGAGCCCTCCCTGTGACAAGGCACAGAGCAAGTCCTTCATGTGCACTGTCTCATCAGAACGCTCGTCAGACAAGCGAACCCTCACTTGCTGGAAGAAAGAAATGTAGAGGTAAAAGGTTTGGATCCCACTCACGGCACAACCATTAGCCAGCTTCACCACCTTGTCTAAATCACTTTATCTCTTTGGGTGTTTTCTCGTTTGCAAGACAAGGGAATGGGAAGGAAGTTCACTGAGAGCTCTGAGGACTTGGATGTGAGTGCTGGCCCCACCCTGTGGTAAGCTCCCATCTTTGGACAAGCCATCCAGATTCATCTGCCCCCCCAGGGTTGGGGCAAACATTTTAAACTGAGAGGATGTAATAGGCCTTTTGAGTACTTTAAAGCACAAAACAAATGGCAGCCAGCACTTAGCATTTATTGTGTGCCAGATACTGTTCCGAATGCTGTCTATATATTGTCATTTAGTAGAGAGGGTAAAACTCAGGCACAGAGATGTTGAGTAAGTTGTCCAAGGATACACAGCTAAGACGTAGCAGAACTGGGATTTGAAATGCTTGTGAATACTTAGTTTGAGAAGGTATTTTGACACAGTCAGAAATTAATATAAAGGAAATTCGTTTCCTGAAAAATAGTGAATTCTAAGGTGCTGTTCGTAGTGCAAGGTAATAGCCTGATTCAGCCATAAAGATGTAAATAATGTGGACAGGGACGTGTCACAGTTACAGAACAGGCCACCTCGAATGAAAGCCTAGCTAATATGTGATTTAATAAGGCTTTCAGCTAAATTCGAGAGTAATGCCAGAGGAAAGATCAAGGAGAAACTGCTTTCATAATCGGTTAATGGTTTTTAAACCTCTTCCATATCCTGACGCAATAACCTTTGTGACATATTCCATTTTGGATTTTCAAGACAAATTCAAAAGAAAATCCAATTTGTCCTTTTTTACGTTATGGCCAAATAGTTTTTACTTTATAAATATCTTCACTTATTTTATTTCCATTTTCTTCTCTTCCTTGTAAATAATGTATAATTTTGCCTCCACAGTACCCTTTATCATCCTACCGGTAGTTTCATGGTGTTGAGAACAGAGAGTCATGGTGTGGTCACATAACACAAGGCACCCCGACCTCCCTGGCCACGCCCAGTGTGAATGTACCCAGTTCCTCCCCAGTCATGCAGGATTCCCTTCCCTGGATCCCCTTGGAGATCCGGGGTTCTCTCTGTGCTCCGTTTGTCTCGATGGGACCGGGGTCCGGGCTGCTCGCCCAGCTGGTGAGCGGAGGACTGGGTGCAGGGCCCAGCCTGGCTCTTACACGCTGTGCACCCTCTCGCAAGGATGCCACAAGGAGCACCACATACCGTGTGGCAATATGTTTTGTTTGTTTGTTTGTTTGTTTTTTTTATCCTCACCCGAGGACATTTTTCCATTTTTTGTTCAGATAGAGCGGGAGGGAGAGAGAGGAAGAGAGAGAGAGAGAAACATCGATGTGAAGAGACACATCGAGTGGCTGCCACCCGCACAACCGACCAGGGCCGGGGACAAACTGCAACCGAAGTACGTGCCCTTAGCGGGAACCGAACCCAGGTCTCTCTGGACCACAGGCCGACGCTCTAACCGCTGAGCCAAACCAGCCAGGGCCCGTGTGGCAATATGTACGCATGAGCCACGGGTGCCTGACTATGAGACCGCCTCTCCCCACACGTATGTGTTTGGTGTGGGAGACTGTCCTACAGTGTTTGTCACCCTCTCACCCAGCTGGCTTGTGCTCCAAGAGACTGGTGGTCTGTATGTTGTCAGCCTTTGATGTGGTCAGTGGGTCCCCCCATCCCTATTTTGTTTAAAAATTTCCAAGTCTAACGCTTTTCATTTTAGAAAAGATGATTTGCTCTCATTTTAAAAAAAGATA